AATGGTTGCCGTGCTTGGCTTTTGCACTGCGGCCGCAGGATTGATTCCTGGGAGCGGTCGCTTTTTTATGTATTCTTTCAATTTAGCGTTCTCATGACTTCGAGAACCTTGTCGTCCGATCGAGCTATGAATGTTCTACGCGCCGAACGTTCTACGCTGAATGTTCCCGATTTACACGTGGGTACAGAACGTCCTTTGCATGGTGGTCCGAGGTCAGTCTCGCCCCAGCGCTCGATCCTGCTGTCACGCCGTCACCAACGCCTGCGACGCTAGCCGTTTTTTATATTGTTTTGGGCAGAAGTTAGCCCCATAAAACGTTTCGATTTCCCTATTCTTCTAGGTAGTCACCTCGTCATTCGTGACAATATCATCAAGTAGAACAACTCGCGTACATTTTGTACCTAAAATGATAATTATTATTTCTATATTAACCGCATCGACTTATGAAAATCGACTACACCTCCCGAACCAAACCGGGTGGACAGAAACACACACACGCACACACGCATATATATATATATATGTGTGTGTGTGTGTGTGTGTGCGTGTGTGTATGTGTGTGTGTGCATTCGCGCAAAGCAGATTTCGCTGCGGAGCATCAAAATGACTTACCCCGGGTGCGTTCAGTTGTTATACGGGAGGTTGCAATACACTTCTAAGTTTTATATTGTAGCATTGCAGTACAAGATTTAGTGACATACAAGGCGGAGGAGCCTCATGTTTCAGTTCATCTCATTTAACTGGCGCTTGGCTACGCTCATTTTTGTAGGCGTCAACGAAAAAAGTAATGAAATATGTTGCTTCTTACTTGCCAAATTAAAGAACGCGTTACCGTCTAACTTACGTCAAGATAAAAGGAACGTGTTACCGTTGCCGATAAAAAGTAACGCACGTTACTTTGCGTTACTTTTATTTATTAATTGACAGTAAAAGCGTTGTTAGCTCTTTTTTTTTTTTTGCGACAGCGTTTTTTAGCATTACGACAAATGGCGCGGGCGTTGGGGTTGTTCTAAAGTGGCAGTTTCTATGTGGAGAAAAGACTGGCGAAATTTTGAAGGATCGTGAAGCGAGTGCAAAAATAACGACTTGGCACCCATATTTCGTTTGAGCTTAGCTCCGGACAGCCGACGCTACGAGCTAATGGCACCAGTCATGCAGCGTCGAATGCGCAAGTCACTGGGCCTTTTTTTGTTTTATGAATGGCTCGGGGGAATGATAGAACATTTACAGAAACCTTACGAACAATATGATGGTGCCTGAACGACCCATCATGTTATAGCGTCGAATCCCTCTGGACTTAAAGTGAAACGTAGTATAGAAACGCGAAAAAAAATTTAAGTGCACTTGTTTTTAGGTTTTGTGAAGAATATGTAACGAATAATGTAACTAAGTAAAGAAAAAACAGTGAGTGCGCAGGCGAGCTTGTAGATGTTGTTCATGATGTAGAATACCCGAGACTGTGGTAAAAGCCGGGAAACTTGGTGGAAGAAAAAAGACAGGGAAAAAGAACCTTTCAAACTCATCTACTGCGTTTATTTCCTCAAAGCGTTATATATCCACCACCTAATCACCGACCACCGACGTCACAAAGTCCCACCTTTGTTATACAATCCTACCCCCACTGGTCTTCACCTCAGCCGTAAACGGTGACCTCAATCCGAAACAGAAAACTTGGGACCTTGAACAAAACAAAGACAAAAAAACAAGTACACCGACCCACTTCCTTTCCATCCGGATCTGAAAGGGCTGTGCTTTATCTAAACGAGAACTGATATGTCCTCCACTGAGCCCCTGTCCGCAAAACGCCTCATTGCACGCCCACTTACCAAGGAAAAAAGAAAGAAGTAACAGGTAACGTTACCCGTTACTTGAAGTAACTAACATAAGTACGTTACCCGTTACAGTTTTGAAAATTTAACGAGTACGTTACTCCCTTACCGAGAAAGGTAACGCGTTCCCGCTGACGTCGTTACTTGTAACGCGCTACCGCCAGTTAGTCGCCATTTATTCGCCAATTCTTCGTTTACAAAACGTATAATTTCTACTGCAATCCTCCAGTGATTCACAATATTTGTGGAGGAAAAGTTATCTGTATTTACTTAGGCGATATATAGGGGCTACCAGTAAAAGGCAGCGACGTACAAAGTTCATTCTTGCATGTTTTACAGCGCTGGGTGTTCTAGGCTAGTGCATCTTTGTCTTGTTTGTTACACTCGTCGCCTACGCTTCCCACTTGCCGGCGTTCAACACCTGATGTCTATAGAAAATCCTCAAGCTACACTTTGGAGAGTAGATAGCCAAGGTTTTATAAGTATATATTCGGTAACCACCAGCAGCCTTATAGTGAATGCTTCTGCTTTTGTCAAAAGGCGGTTATTTGTTGCGCATAGGCAAATTATTACTTTTAGAAAATGCAATAAAAGCAAAAAAAAAAAAAAAACTCAACAGTGTTACCCTATTCATAGTCAGAACCGCTAGAGGAAACAGCTACCAATAATCATTGTAGTTGAGTGAGAGTTTTTGGCAGCGTTTCTCTGAATCCCATTGGTGTTTGTCATTCCTCATGTTAAATAGCAGGGCCGTTCAGCTTCAGCGGAACATTTTAAAATGTTCGCAAGAAAAACATTACACCAGTATTTTATATTACTATCTGTTTTCGCTTTTTTTTTTGTGTTTCTAATAATAAACAGATTTTCCTCTCTTGTATTCTCAGATGTAATCAGTGTTTTTCCGTAACTTAAACATCTGCTTCCTTGAAAACCACTATAGACCTTTTCACTTCAGTAGTTGCCTGACCGCCGGGTAGAGGGCGCTGGCGCACTCACCGCCATGAGGTTGCTTCAATTTGGTTAGTTTCGTTTTCAACAAGCACGCGATTGTGGAGCTATTTCATGCCGTTTTCGCTTCTTTAATGTTACAAATTTGTTCCTTGTACCACACAGCGAATGAAACAATGGTACTGAGCCACCTGGAAAACCAGGAGGTGGTTTCGGGCCTAAATTGCGAGCACTTACACGAACACCAAATGCGTCTGATTACGTCCATGGTTCATTCCGACCACTTTCGGCGGTGAAACAATTACGCTGATGCACAGGATTACTATCATTCACGGCCGTACCCGTGGACACTAGTTTCCAGGAAAATAAATAAATAAGGAGCAGGACAAGCTCCGCTTCCAGCCGCTCCAGCACGCGCTCGTTTCCTGCCGCCGTGCTTTGGCTGCGCGTGCACCGTGTGGTACGGCAGGTAGATGGCTCGCGCTCAAGTAAGAAATTATATCTGCTCATCTTATATTGCAAGAGACTATAATGCATGAGTGCTTAGTGAAGATGCAGGTTCACAACATGATCAACAATGTGCTGAATCACGAAGAACAGATGAACGGACAAGTTTATTGCTCGATGTTTGTTTTTTGGGCACCAAGTTTTCATAAAGTTTGCACTAGAAAAGTATTTTATAATGACGTAGAGAATATTCAAAAGAACTAATATTGTATTGTCTTGTTTCATTAAAACAGAAATAAGTTAGAGAAATATTTTTATAGATCACCTAGGCCGACTAGAAAATTTCTTTAACTAAAGTAGTCACTAACAACATTTCACAATATTGGCCTTATGAAATAAACTATTTGTTGCATGTATGGACATTTGCTTACGACGTTCTCAAGGTATAAGATAAGTGACTTGCCTTCAAATGTGGTCTGAAATTCATCTCGCATAAAATTTCACAAAGAAAATTAAAGCGCGCAAAAGAAGTGATATATAGGAAGTTTGGCTGAAGTCGAGCGCCAGGCGCCACGCCATGCATGGACCTATGCAGAAAGCTCTGTACTGGTTTGAGCCGACGCGCTTTCTAGATTTCGGCGTCGCCAGCCGTCAGCCGCCAGTCGTCAGTAAATCCCTATTCGCCGTCGACAACGTTGCACTCGGGCGATTTTCGTGCGGACAGATTTTTTTCGGTGTCACATATTGTGTACCAAATGCACTCTCAAGCTGTCTGTAACAGTTTCTCCCAAGGGGAGTCGCAATATTTTTTTTAATTAAATAACTGAAATGAACTGTGTGGTTATCTTAAGAAAATACTTCAGGCAATTAAAAGGCGTATGGCACCAAGCACGGTATACAGTTTCTTGAAAATCATATATAAAGCGATCAAGCGAAAATTTATATCGCAGAGACGATTAAGAACGTAGGTGATATTGTAAAGGAATTGTTTGGCGTTGACGTACCATTATTCATAGAATAAAAAAAAATCCAAATTAAACGTTTGTACTCCATCTTGTCCACAAGTTCCCCCACATACCGTAGTCGAGAGCAACCGTTTTCGCTCTGTTATAAATACAAAACTCGATGCTTTCAGGAAACACACGTGATTAATTTTGCTGAGTAATTTACTAATTTTGTCCCCTTCCTTGAGATCCTAAATGCGCGATCATATATATACTTACCGTGTTCTTCCTATTACGAATGTTCCGCCGTAACAATTAGGAACCAAACCTGAGTTTTCATATGTTACTGACTTTTGAGTCCTCGTGCTGTTTTAGAGTCATGCATGTATGGCTGTGTGCGTGAGCGCTAATGCTGATTTATGAGCCCATATACTATAGCATCTTAACAAGTATCCGGCGAACCGACGGTAAAAATGGTCAAATTTTGTTACAAAACTAACTGCAGAAGTTGTGCACATAATGATGTAATGCAATTATATGGTAAAGATAAGTATCGGACAACGCCTTCTGGAGTAAGGTAAGAAAGTCGGTGAAACGCGACGAAAAACACGAATTTAACGCATCCCCCAAGGCGTGGAGTAGCGCGGAGGGGAGAGCGGAGCAACAAGTTGAAGCAACATAATGGCGGCCGCATCACGTGATTCCAAGATGGCAGCGCCCATGTGGCGGAGGGTGAAAAGGTCTATAAAGGAGACCTAATAGAATCAGTCAGTATATCTTAAGAAGGTATATCTTAAGAAGTGTTTGAATAAACTTATTCATTTAATTGCAGTTACGGTCGGACCTTGGGAAAAATGCAGATGACGCCGAGTGCCAGCGTCAATGCTGCATTAACCAAACGCATTTAACTATTAACTCGCCCGACGGAATGAAATGCGGCGACGAAAAGGTATTGTAATGAGATGCCGTTGCCCCACACTCATAGAGTTGCTAAACCATCATCTGTGTTTGGGGTTAAAGGACATATTCCAAATTAGAGATCTGAATTAACGATATTTTCAGTTACAAGGTTATGTCGGTTATTAAAAAAGAGTTTTTTTTTTGCAACTGATAAATTCACTTATACTTAAAGGTCCCACATAAATGATGTCGTGGTGCATTCCTAAACAGTCAGAAATATTCTAATGTAAGTCACTGAAGTGAACGACTTTCAGGCAAATCATCATTTGAAACTTCGCTTCGCGTTTTCCGTCACAAAAGCCGAAAGGCAGTCTAACAACCAGAGTTTGAACTTCTTTGCAACTGTGTCTATCTACAAGTAGCCTGTGTGCTCCTCAATGACAGATAATAATTTTAAATAAAATGCACACTGGCTTTGATAGTGGAAAATGATATATTGAAAAATATTTAGTACACGCCTAAGCATGTTAATTTTTATTTTAGCAAGTGTGAATATATTTTGGATGTAATCTTAAGTAACTTGTAACTGATATCGGCAGGCTGAACAATATTTTAAAACAATGGAGGAATTTTTACGGAGCTGTCTGCCGCCTGAAACTTTTTCACCCGTCTATCTCGCCGTGCATTTCCGCGTTAAATATGGCGACGAAATTTAATTGATGAGAAATTATACAATGTTAAAGTTACGTCACACGTCATGGGTCATACTGGAAACGATTGTCTGCTAAATACAAAAGGAAGTTGGTACATATACACCAATTTAAGACCCGGGACACCCCAAATTAAAATCGTGACGTGACATTACGTATGTATGTCCCGTGGCACGTCGTGATAAGCGGCGCCTTGTAACATGATGTGGCCTGACGTCTTGCGAAGTTAAGAGCTCCATACGTATATGGCACTCCTTGAATATTATATTCTATGCACATAGAACTTCTTTGATAAAGTTCGCTGGAAATCCATTTTTTTTTATTGAGTAACAAGATCACTACGTGGCGTGACAAAATAATTTGAGTGAAAAGTACTCAGAGAGACGTGCCAGTTTCAAAGGTGAAATGTAAGCTTTTAATCGTGGTGTTTCTTATGTGTCCACCTTACCTTGTCCTGTGTGTTCTCTCCTTCTTGTCCGTGTGTTATTCGCGCTGTTTTTTCAAAATGGATTCAGACCTGACAATACTACACGCAATAGAGGTTCTTGAACTAGGTGAACTTTTCAGAAAGCAGGTGTCATCCACGCAAGTCCACGCCAATCATCCGACGCCACCATACTACCATGAGAGGACGCTATATAGGGAAGGGCTAAACACTCCCCACCGTTACAAAACAGCACAACACACACAATTAGTACATACAAACACATCAATTCAGTGTAACGCCACCGGCGAAGAATATATGCGGTAATTTGGTCGACATCCCTTATGTTACGTTATCCAACGTCAAATGCATGATAACTGAAATCACTTCACCACATGACTTGACCACGTGACGTTACAGTTCCACACCCTTGAGTCACGTGGTCACAATAAGTGAAGTCGCGTCACTTGACGTAGTTACGTGTCCGTGCGCTTCATGGATGCACCTACCACGTGATCGATATTCATGGACATTTACCACCTCAGCAACGCGTTATAGGTATGATGCTGTTGCCTAGAACGCATCTCTGACTGGTGTGTTGCCCCACGCCCTAATAAGTTGTCCTTCGATTTCTGCTTGATGACCTCATAGGAGCGTCATGATGTCACCGGCTGCGATCCTGGCGGTGTTAGAGCAATGGTGATACTGCAGCAGACGCCTGTTCTGCTGAAAGTAACTCTACAGCTCGAGTCTACGGAAGCTTGGGAAGCAAACAGTTTTGACGCCGCGAGGAGAGCTACGCTCGCATTCTCTAGTGCTTTTTTGCAGAGATACTATGAACAACCGCCACGATCGCGATTTCTGAAAGCATAAAACTCCGGCTTTCTTGCCATGATTTGTTGTAACTATGGGGCCACTTTTGATGCACGGGCGGAATAAGACCATGAACAAATATCAGTCGGAGACACGTTCCAGGCAACGTAGAATGATGTTTTTGTCAGGTACGAACAAAGTACAACGCAATTTGTTTTTGTCGTGCGCATTCGGCTTCCAGCGAACACAAGTGGTTTGCCAAGGGTCGGCTGGAATGAGTCCAATCATTGTATCTCGTTGCTTTAGCATTGCTTGATCATTGCTCGTTGCTTTAGCATTGAACAAATTTCCTGCTTGATACACGCTTGACTCAACGACAAAAGAGCGACCCTGCCATGAAAGAAGGCTCTTTGACATAGGAAAGGGGTTCATAAAAGAAGCCATATATATTTTGATATATTTAGAGACTTTAGTTACATTACTTGTGTGAACATCCCACCGTATGCCGGTGAACCATTAAGCAGGTATTATGGTTCAAATATGTTTTGATTTAATGTTCAAACAACGACAATATAGGCATGATGTAAACTAGATTCGCGAAACTAAAAGTAACTTTTTCATTGTGGAAACAAAAGAAAATTGGAGTATAAAATATTACTTCTATAATTATATATTTCAAAATGAAATCGCAAATAAGGCAACTTTAATATTGATATCTACTTGCGCTCACCAACTTTGAATGAATGTTAAATTAAGCCTATATATTACTTCGAATATATTTTGGGTACTCTGTTTTTTTTGTTTTTGTTCTGCGACCGTTCTCCGTATTGAAAACATACTTGGTATTTTTCACCCCCAATGAAACAATTTTGACTGAGAGAAAACAAAGAAATTTTAAATATAAAATGTTCTCTTGTGCTTAAGACATAGTGCATTACATTAGGTGATTATTTCAATGACAAATGACAGGGAATACGGGTCTCTTATTGGTTTCTGAAACATTTTGTTTCCACGGAGAGTACACCGCTACTTTATGGCGAAATGGTATTTTAGCTACTACATTTGCTTATGAAAAAAAGAAATTGTGATTTTCTTTCTTTCGTAAGGTAGGTGCCTACCTTTTTGAGGAGTAATTCTACTTGATAAGAATACTTAATTAAAGTTTCGGTTGCTGACAAAATTTCTCCGTGTTAACAGGTTTGCATTCATGGAGTTTGCGTCTCAAAAAAAATCAGACGCACGCAATCGAATGATAGAGCAAGTGATGACCAACGGGAACTCTGAAAGAAATTCAACCAAATGAATTCATTCATAACCAGGCATGAAGTATACCTGTTGATTAAGAGATTTGAAAAATAAAAAAAATAAACTAATTATAACTACGCTGTCTCCAAGTGTCTCGTGCGATTGACCGGAAGTTTTATAATAATATATTTATGAAATGAACTTTAACGAAAGGCTCTTCCCAAAGAACACAAACGCGCTCAGTGTGATGTCGGGAGCGACTCCACGCTTCACGGCAGCGCACGAAGAGCTCTTCCCTTGTACGTTAATCTGCTTCGTTGTGCGAATATAGAGCGCAAAATTGTTCCCTACACACATCGGAAAGTTTTTTTTTTTAGGAAAATGTTTAATTTATAGTTAAAGCTTGGGCGAGATCATGCATATATGAGAATTAAAACAAGCAAAATGATGAGCGACCAAATTAAGATAGACATAAATACAGCTCTGTGCCTCTATCATTTCTTCGTGCCTGTTTCTATACAGAGAAAGAGGCAAAGCATCGCTGTGCTTATATTCACTCGGTGTCTCGTTCTTTGCGATTTTTTTAATTCTTAAGTGCTTAACTCCTGAAATAATATCACATGCTCAACAGAAAATTAAAGAATGTGTTTAAAATTTTGGTAGTACTAGCCATATTTTTCCCCACATTAACTTATTTGTTGTTGACATTTCATGATTAGACTGTGAGGGGTTATGATAATTGTGGGTCGAGTAGCAGTTCCCACTTCCCTGTTGAAAAAAAGTTCCTTAAAGCGTTACACATTTTAAGGTATTTATGTTAAAATGGTCATTGAAATCAAGAATATGTCATTGCTGCTAGTTCCGCGCTGCATATTGCTATTCTAAAACAAAAACCTAAAATAGTAATTTCAGAAGTAAGGAAACGTGCGAAACCGGAAAAAGAAAAGAGGACACAAAAAAAAATGAAAGACGCTGACCACTCCCTGTAACACCGAATCAGAGCGCAGCTCCAATGTGTTCAACACAGACCCGTACTTACTTCGATGGCCACTTGGATAACGAGTACAACACGTTTTCATACGTGCCTCTGTCATCTATGAATGATGATATCACTTGCCTGAACAACGGGTAACTGGCATCTCCCCTCCTCCCTCCTCATCCATCCTCCCTCCTTCCACGTCCTACCTTAACCTCCCCTCTCCCTCCTCATGATCCTCCCTCCTTCCTTTTCTTACCTCATCCTCCCTCCTCCTCCCTCCTCCTCCTATCTCCATCCTCCTCTGTCCTCCTTCTTCCTCCTCCGCCTCCTCTTCTCTCCCCCCCGCGCATTGCATCATGGGACGTTTCCCATAATTCAACACGCGGGACCTTTGTGACGTCACTTGTGACCCTCATGACGTCACTTGTGACGTCATTATGGTACGTTTCTAATAATGAACCGCGCGGTTAAGCCGACGGCGACGGCGACGCTGCTCAAGCCGGAAACGGGCGCCTAAGAGATGTGCTCTAAAAATGAAAGACGCTTACAATGTAACTTAATGCCGAATTAAGCGCCGTTCACATGTATGCAACCGAGTAAGACCGAGAGTCCAGACCGGTTTTAAGCCTCTTGCGACGTCCTAGGACCCGATGCGCTGCTGCGGAGCTGGTTCTAAGACATCGCAAGAGGCTTAAAAACCGGTCAGGTCTCTCTCGGTCGTACTCGGTTGCAAGAGCGTGAACGGGCCTTTAGAGCGCACCTGTTGAGGAGGAAGAGGATATGCCCCTCCTCCCTCTTCCGTACCCTCTCCTGCTCCCCCAATTAGCGAGACTTTTTCACATAATTTAGCACTAAATTTAGCGAGGTATATTTTCCGCTAAATTTGGCGGGGGTAATTTTTTGGCTAAATTTAGCGGGGAAATTTAGCGGGGAATTTTTAGCACTAAATTTAGCGGGAAGTTTTCCCGCTAAATGTAGCGGGGAAGTATTTTCGATAAAGTTAGCGGGGAAATTTACCCATAATGCAACGCGCTGTGGCGTCACGAATGACCCTCGTGATGTCACACGTAACGTCCGGGTGACGTCATCATGGGAAACGTCCCATAAGGCAAAGCGCGGTTGCGCCGACGAGGACGGCCACGGCAACGCCGACGCCGCTCAAGCCGGAAACGGGCGCCTGAGAGCTGTGCTCTAAAAGAGGACAACATACACAACGTCTCGAACACAGCCGCAGGTTTACGCTAAAACTACACCCTTTTATAGGGGTACACCGCAGTCAACGCGAAGAACCCTCACACCAAGTTTTAGAATAAACCTTTAGCTGTGTTCGACACGTGTGTGTGACGGGCTCTGTTTCTTATCTTTCTTTTTCCTTCTTCACAATTCTCAGGTTTCGTTATGTCTGCTGTTCACCAGCTTGACTGTACTTTTACTCTTCTCCCAGTCGTCATTGATTTATTCAGAATTCTCGACACATCTACGGAGAAGCAGAAGCAATGGCACAACCTAAAAGTGGCGGTACTGTGTACAGTCGCACTGAGTACACCCCCTTTTTAGCACAGAGAAGGTGTACTCAGTGCACCTCAAGTGCGGAGTTGAATACATCAGTCAAAGAGGCCGATGTATTCGTGTGCCTTAAATCAGATGTTCAATCAAAACTAAAGATTCGACAAAAAAAAATTAGGCAGATAGGCACTGGTTGTTGTTTGCGGGTTTTATGGCGCAAGAACTCCTACCGCCATTCTGCGCCAATCTAGGTAAGCTAAAATACATTGTTAAAAAGTACACCAAGACTAGGCTAGAAGTTGGCTATAGTTTGTGTAAAATATCTGTAGCTTTGTGAAAAGCTAAAAGACGTTCAAATTATATGAGAAGCTGTTCCCCTAGAACCAAGACAGGGTGAAACGGAATGCTGTATTTAAAAAAAAAAACTCAGGGAAAAAGGTATTGTATTGTTGTAAAAGGCCACGGCAAAGAAAGAGAACATGTAGAACAGATAAAGTTTCTCTACAGTACTTGCATAATGGCGGTTCTTCACCTATAAGCAGGTATTGATGAGTAATGAACGAGTAGCCAATTCTCAAGCGGCACAGGAGAACTTCGTGGAAACGATTTTTATTATAGGAGGTTTCCCATGTGCCAAGTTCTGGTTTGATGGCATGAAGCTTATTATTATCGGCTAACTTCCATTCAGATTACCATAACCGTGAAAGTGAAAATCTCACAGACATTTTAAGGTCTTAGTAAGGTATGCGGATATTCGATGGTAAAAGGTTCCGTGAAGAGGCGCCTAGTCTATCTGCAGCCTCGTTGCCTGCAATGACCACATGGCTCGGGATCCAGCGAAACATGAAGTCATTCCCACCAGCGAGTCCCTGTTGAACTTTGGCCCGTACGAGTTGAGTCAACTTATTCGTGGTTGATGTAACAGAACATACAGCGCTAAAAACAATTTAAGAGTCTACAAAAAGAATGGTTTTCATCACTTTGCTCCTGATTATATAGTCAAGGGTTGTTAGAACACCATAAAGTTCCGCATTAAAAATGCTGGCGACATTCTTGAGTCGAGTAACATGGGTAAACGAATTTGAATAAACAGCGGAGCCAATATACCCTATTGAAAATTCCATCAAGATACGTAATTTCGGACACTGACTGCCAGTCAGCAGCCCTGGTGGAACGTGATGGACCATTAGACGTCATCATCTGATGGACCATCAGACGTCATCTGATGGTCCATCAGATGACGTCTGACTGCCACTGCCAAGGGATTTTCATCAACAAGGGGAGCATTTTTATAAGAGTAAAGCTATATGCACTCATAAATATCGCCAAATGCCTCGATAAAACAAAATGTTCGAGAAAAAAAAAAAAAGAAAAAAAAGCAGGCCCACCGCGGATCGAACCCGCGACCACTTGCGTACAAATCGGACACCTTAAGCGCTATGCTATGCCATTTTTTTTTTCTTGATTGCACCGCTATGCTATGCCATTCTTTTATTGCCTGTTTTTACATTTGTACAATAGGATATATACAAAGGAGGGGTTAAAACCACTTCAGCCGTAACTTGGCTGCCGTGGAGTCATTAAAATTCGTTTAAACACACCAAAACATCAAGAATGAACAACCAATCCGGCGGTTCGGGCTGTGCCCGGAAGACTTCACGCGTGCCGGCAACACTTTCAATAAAATATTCACGAGCCGAGCGGACTGTTTTATCCGCGCGATTCACGTCTAGTCTTGTTTTTCATAGACTGTGAAGGCGCAGTAGTAGTAGCATATCATAAGGTACGCCATTTACGTTCTCTATTGATAGAAACCGTATACCTCTGGCGGTTGTCGGAAAATCCTTTTTGAGTGTGCGCTGGAGTATATCCCACAAAAACACAGCGTCCCAGCAGTAAATAAACACGTGTTCTACAGTTTCTGGCGGCTTGCATAAAAGACAATGCGTTGACCATGGTACGAAAATGCCTTTTTCCTCTAACCATGGCTTTACGGGTAGGACGCCACAATGAAGTTTAAAAAAGAAGGATTTAGCACTAGACTTTACCGGCATCTTCTTCACTCTTTTTAAAACATCTTGGCCAGGGCCTTCAGAGTATAGGGAACGATAAACGGCACAGGCAGCAGAACATCAACCAAATCTCGATACATTTTTTCCGTGACACGGTACTAAGATAATCTTAGGAAAAACGGACCTTCAAGATTCGAAAAGAGAGAAACACTTCTATCAAATACCCTCGCACAGCGGCACCTGTCCCTGTGAATGACAAAACAATAAATTCTGACAAAACGTTTTGCAGACAAAGTTGAACAACTGTGCGTAAAAAGGCATCCCTCTGATCGCGTAAAACATAAAGCGTGAAACAATCTGACGTAAGAACAAATGGGACAATCCCAAACCACCACTTCGCACTGACCTAAATAAATTCGTTCGAGCGGAACGCTCCCATGTCGAAGACCAAATAAAAACGGCAAACACTCTATGCAGCTTTTGCACATTCATACGTGACATACACAACACTTGTAATATATACCAGACTTTTGATATTAAAA